GTAAAATCTGAACGCGGAGCGTCGACCAATCAGAGACTCCGCTGTGTGACGCAGCGGCCTGTAGGGGGAGCCCTGCTGTGGATTCGGGTCTAACCGGGCTGCTGACCCGGTTAGCAGCCCGGTTTCACATGGCCCTGACCCTCAGCTGACATGTGAAACTGACAGCAGCTCTGAGCGTCAGTCCGCGCTACGAAACGTGAACAAGCATCGACTCGACTGGCTTGTTTTTTCTCACGTTTAGTCGTTATGTGATAATTATTCCATCCGTTTAGTAAAATGCTGCCTCCGTTTTTCCTCCACAGCATCGCTGCTGGTCGTTTCCTTTGCTCTGTTTCCTGCTCAGAAACTTGCTAAGCTAGCTGAAGGAGCAAAGCAGCTCAATAAACTTGAAGGAAAATAACATTTCACGGAGTTATTTGGACTAATATTTTAGAAAAAAAAATTGAAACACATTAAGGAAATTACTTTTTTTTTTACTCTTGCATTTTTCCTCATCCCTCCGACTTTCTGAGGCCTTCTAAGCCGCCATGCTGGTTCAGTGTCCTGACCTTTGACCTGCCAGTCTGAGATGGCGCTCCGGCGTTGTGCTAGCACCCGCCTGTTTCTGGCTTTTATAACTAACAGGTTTTCTCTGGTGTTTGTCCCTCCAGGCCACCGTAGTTCCAAAGGCTCAGGTGAGTGTTATTGAGCAGACAGTTTCTGGATGGTGAACTCTGCCTGACTTTATGACTGAGAATCAGAACCAAGCGGGTCAGAACCGGTGGCTAACAGAACTTCAGCTCTGAAGTTCTGTTCAGAGCTGAACAGAACTTTGAGCTTTGACAAAGTTTGAGCCGTTTGTCTTCTGCTGAGGAGAAAAAACACTTCAGAGTCACGTTGAAGTGTTCTGCTCTGATTTCTGGTTATTTCGCTTCATGGGGGTCTGAAGCAGCTCTCTGCTGATTGGTCCGGGTAAGATAATGACTCCTTAATGGCTCTGGTGGACCACAGGGAGTCAGAGGAGCGCGTCCCGACAGGAAGCTTACCTCCGCCGTCCCTGATCTCCAGGCGACCCACGCTGCTGCTGCTGGGCGCGAACAGGGACAGCCTGACTGGTTTCCATTTCTGAAACAAACAGGAAGTGAAAAAAGTGTCAAAGGTCACGGCAACAGAGGTGGGAAAAGTTTCAGCTTGATGTTCAGCTGGAAGAGAAACGAGACAGGAGGACAAAACGCGTCCCGACAGAATGATCTGTCACAGAGACACGCAGGTAAACACAGGTCAGGTCATATCTGTGTCAGGAGCACACACACACACACACACACACACACACAGCGGCTGGGATTTGGACCTTTATTCCTCCAGTTCCTCAGTGTCGGAGCGCAGCAGGAATGTTCTGCCAGGATCTGTTTCAACTTGTTGGTTTGGATTCCTCAACTTTCCTCTCAGAAAAGCCAAACAAACCAGCTGAGCTCCAGAAACTCTGAGTTAAAAGCAGCAGGAATATCAGCGAATATCACGATTTAAGATTCGCCTCAGATTTCGATCTGCTCTGACCAAACCGAGCTGCTAACGGCTAAACAAGCTGCATTTCTGCAGAGAAGCAAAGATTGACTCACTTTGTGGGGTTTGTGCGGCTTCAGGTAAACTTTCCCTGTTTTGATGTGAGAGTCCATGGAGGAGGAACCAGGAACCGGACCGGACCGGACCAGACCAGACCGCTGCTGCTGGAGATCACAGAAACACGTCTGAGGAGCTTCCTGCTCCGATCAGCATTAAGGTTGGGCCATGAGGCATTCCAGAAATATGATCCTCACCTGCTGAAACACACACACACACACACATATTTAAAATGCCTGCCTGTTGTGCTGCTTCTAAAGTTGCACAGCAATAATTTAGTTGTTTAGTCTGGAAAATATCGGGCTTCATTTTCCAAATCCATATTCTCACCATGTTATTAATTCACTTATAAATTTAACAGTTTCAAGATAAATTAAGTAGCAAGCTAAATATTTAGCTCAAATATAACATTTAGCTCCAAATTAAATATACTTAGTTATCAAACTAAATATTTAGTTAGCAAGCTAACAATATTTTCCAATCAAAATTTGGAGCTAGTAAGCCAAATATTTAGCTCCAAATGAAGTAGTTAGCTCTTAGGTCACAAAATATAAATCCATCCATTTTCTAACACCTGTGTCCCTCAGTGGGTCAGGAGGTGCTGCTGCCTCTCCAGCTAACGTTTCAGGTGAGAGGCGGGGTCACCTGGACAGGTGACCAACCTGTCACAGGGCAACACAGAGACAGACAGGACACACACCGGGACAAACCGGAGACCAATTAACCTGACAGTCATGTTCTGGGAAGCTGGAGAGAACCCAGCATGCGCAGGGAGAACATGCAGAAAGACCCCGGGCCGGGAATTGAACCCAGAACCTTCTTGCTACAAGGCAACAGCTCTACCTACTGCACCACTGTGCAGTTGCAATATATTTAGCTTAATATAATCTAAATATTTAGCTAGCTCAAAGCTAAGTATTTAGCTTGTAAAATTAAATATTTATTTTGAAAGTGTGACATTTATTAATGAATGAATAACATGGTGGAAACGTGAATTTGAAAAAGAAACCCCTAAATATTATGGTTAAATTTTTTTACAGTGTATCTTTACAAGCGACCTCCGTTAAACAACGAGGTCAAAGTCCAACATTCCTGCAGGAGGAAACTGGAGCAATGAATGGGAATCCAGGTCCACACTGGGAGGAGTGGCCAGGTGGGCTAATGAGGAACAGGTGGATGCTGGAGTAACCGAGGACATCTAGTGGCAGAAACGGGGTACAGCAAGGAATCAACCTGGAAATTAAGATGTAGGCTTCAGCTGCTGCTGTCAACAGCTTCTCCTACAGATGAGGCAAAAATTGTCCTTTTGCATCGATATTTGTGGCGCTGAAACAATGAATCAGATCTGAGGAGGAACCCTTTAACTCCGAGTCTTCTCTGAAGCGAGCGTCTCCTCCGTTTTCTCCTCCGACCGGAGGCCTGATTCCAGGAAGGACGTCGTCTTGACTCACATCCAGCCGCGCTTCCTGCTTCTTTCTAGCTTCTGAATTGTGCAGCCGGGTCTGCCGCTCTGCCTGCAGGTCAGACTGTTTGTTGTTGCTGTAAATGATCGCTTCTCAGAGGAACTCCTTGCTAGCGGCTCTGGAAGATGCGATCTGACAGGTTTGGACTGAAAAGGCCACGGAGGATCTGCGGCGACGCGAGCTGCACCTACAAACACCAACCGCCTCCGATGCCCCGAGGTCACCGAGGTCACCGGCTGAACCAGAGCCGACCCGACAGCAGGACCGGCGGGTCGGGGGTCACACCGACCGGAGGAACACCTGGAATCACCGCTGAAACGGGTACACTGCAAAAACACTAAGTACTACCAAGGCCTTTAACCAGTGCAAACAGCTCAGCACACCTCAACGAAGAAACACTAAACACAAGCAGCTTTCCAGCAAGACATTATTTTAAGTAAATTATTCCTTAATGCTGATGAAAACGTTGGCTTGTAAAATTATTTTATCTGCTAAAACTAACAGCATTTTGGACAAAAATGGTTTTTCTTGTTGTTGTTTTTTTTCTTTTTTAGCATAATCATCTTGTGACAAAACATTAAAATACAAAACAAACAAAAAAAAAAATATATATATACATATATATATATGTATATATATATATATAAATATGAAGATGACTATATTTAAATTGTAGCTAAATATCTACTCTATGAACTAAATATTTAGTTTTGAACTGAATACTTATAATTCAGCTTCTTAGCTAAATATTTAGTTTCAATATGACATTTTTAATAAGTGAAATAATTTGCTGATGGAACTAAAACTTGTTCATCAACATTAAGGAATTATTGACTTAAACTCCAGCTGAAAAGTTTCTTAAAAATAATTTTTTTCTTAACATATTTGGACTGGAAATCAGACCAAAATTACTTGGTAAGGTTTTGTGTCAGTTAGGCCTGTCGCATTAATCAATAAATTAATAAATCAGTTAATCACATAATAAATTAAAATGAGATCAATAATTTCTACCAAAAACTGGATGATAAAATTTTTCAGTCTGGTGTTTTGGGCTCAACTAGAACTTTATTTTGAAAGATAATTTTGTTTACAGAAACTTCATAATTTATTGTATTTGTTGTTTCTGTTGATTATTCATTTTAAAAATCTTCCAGTGATAAATGTTGATGAGAGTGTAAAGTTTATTGAATGTGGTTTTGCTTTATTATTAGCATCATATGATCTCAAAACAACATTTTAATTTATCACAATATCTTCTGGGACGATTTATCGTCCAGTAAGGTTTGTTATTGTGATGGGCCTGGATGTCGGCTGTCCTGATTGGAGCTGGGTAACCATGGCGACGGGTACCTGCAGGCTGAGGAGGATCCGATCAGCGCATGGGAAGGAAAACATGTCGCTGTCAGCAGCACGACGGCCCCAACCGCGGTCAGCGCTCCCTCTGAGGGAGGTCACATGATCTGCTGGGGCCCTACGGGGCCGCCAGTGCCCTATGGGGCCCAACGGGTCTGACCAGCAGCTCCAGACTGGACCCAGCTTCTGGAGAACAAACAGGATAAACCAGGAAAATGCGGCAGAGAGAGAGAGGAGGAATGAAAGGTCACCTCAGGTCACCGGCTGCAGCTGAACCTGAAACAACCAGAACCAGAACACGTTTCTCCTCAGATTATCCAGGTCAGAGACAGGAGAAGGTTCTGCTGGATTAGGGAGAAAATGGCCGCTTCACTTTCGTTTCTGGGGCGACTTAGAGGAATAAAGATGTAGAAATAATAAAACGACCAGAAAAAACACAGAAAATGAGATGAATAAAAGCTGAAGAAAGTGACAGATTTCACCTGGAAGAGGAAACGATGGTGGAGTTACTCAGTCTGAATAATTCAGGTTATGTAATCTGTCATAGAAGAAGAAAAAATCAGTTCATTTTTCAAAGTCATCACCATTTTATCCATTCAGTTATCAATAATATCACAGTTGCAAGCAAAATTCTAAGTTGGCAAACTAAATCTTTAGCTGGCTCAGAGATAAATACTTAGCTTGAAGCTACATAGTTAACTTAATATTTAGCGGACTTACTAAATATTTCTGCTTATTTAGTTCAATAAATATTTAGATTTAGTCAGGAGCTAAGTGTTGAAATATGAGCAGAATATTTAGTTATTAATCTAAATCTTTATCTGGTGAGAAATGGGCCGAACCCTCCGGTTTGTACAAAGTTGCTGATTAGATTCCACATGTTGACGCCTGCTGCAGCAGGCAGTCAGGCCGAGCTGTGATTGGCTGAGCTGCCCGTCGGTTCAGCCAACCAGAGCAGAGGGCGGGGCCAGCAGAGTGAACATCTGGGCGCTCCTCCTCCTCTTCCTCAGCTTCATCTCCGCGGCTTCGCTCCTCTCTGCTGACGGGAAGCAGCTCCGCCGCTTAACTTCCGGGAGTCTCGGCGGGATGTCCGCGAGCTGCGACCCGCGCGCCGCCTGAGCTCACCTGGAGCGCGAGGCAGCTGAGGGCGCGCGCAGGACGAGCCATGAGGCGGCGGGAAGCGGCGGGGGGCGCGCTGGTGGGCTGGAAGCTGCTGCTGCTGGTCAGGTGAGAGGAGAGCCGCCGCTGGGTTCAACTGGGGCTCCGCGGCCCGGGGAAAGAACCGGGTGGGGGTCAGGAGGGGTCCTGCTCCAGGTGTTCTCCACTGCTGGTCCAGACAGGTTCAGGTGGAGGAGAATCTGACCTGGAGGTTCTGGTTCTGGTTTCAGAGGGAGATCTTCTCATGTGTTGTCCTGTGTTGCTACTGGATCACCATGGTAACGCTCAGAACCAGTTCGTGTTTCCTTCAGATGCCTTTGCTCTTCAACATGTGGAGATTCATGAACTCCATTCATCATCTGCCACAGAGAATAAATATATCAGAACCATGAAGTCATCTGCCAGGGATGAAGGAGGTGAAGATGATGAAGGTGATGATGAAGGTAATGATGGTGAAGGTGATGATGATGAAGATAATGGTGATGATGATGAAGGTGATGGTGAATGTAATGATCATGATGATGAAGGTGATGATGAAGATAATGGTGATGATGATGAAGGTGGTGATGATGAAGATAATGGTGATGATGGTGAAGGTGGTGATGATGAAGAGAATGGTGATGATGATGAAGGTGGTGATGATGTCTAGTGAACTTTATTGCCAAAGATCTATGTAACAGGATTAACAGAAGTTTGAAATTGCGTCTCTGTCTCCAATGTGTAATTAAACTGAACATATAAATAAGACGTTGACAGTAACCCCCCCCCCACACACACACACACACACACAGCAGAAGTGCAATCAGTGGACACACAGGTAGTGTCAGGTGATGCAGATGCTGAATGCAAGGTGCAAAGAGTGAAGGAAATGTTTATGAAAAGTTCATTTAGTTTACTACAGTGTGTTGATGAGTCTGATGGCTTGTGGAAAGAAGCCGTTTCCCAGTGCGGTGAAGGTTTAATGTGGGTTATCTGATGTGATCCATTCGGTTCTGACCGTCTGACTTCCTGTTTCTCATCCTGAGTCATCTTTCAGGATCAAAGTTTCTGAATGTGGATTTAAAATTATTTCCAGCTTTATTAAACCTAAAAACGTCTCGGAGAAAAGATTTAATTCAGAAGGAAGAACAAAATGCTGACAGCAACAAACTAACAAATTCCTACGATAACCGATAATGTTTTCAGACCATCTGTAAGTCACACATCGATCATAAATATCTCTGAAAATCTAATAGTTTGATTTTGTAAAAACAAGACTAAACTCTGGAAATGGAAGGTATTTTAAATACCCAAAATAAGACAATAACCAAAAACAATAAAAATGTAAATAAACATTTTCTACTCGAACCATAAAATGGATTATATTCCACAATATAATTAATTTTATGATGGATTATATAATAAATGGATTTATTATGGATGGTTTTGATGTTCCCATCAAAAACATCAGAATGAAAATTATCAGCTCATTTTAATTAAGCTAGCTAAACATTAATTAGCTCTGATATTATATTTGGCTAATAATTTGCTAATTAACTTGAAGAAAAGGACTATCAAAATAAAAGCTGGGCATTGAGAACTTCTATAAAAACTTCTGATGAGACCGTATTCAATGCTGATGCTAAAGCTAAGCTAAGTATTTAGTTGTTGAACTAAGTGTTTATCTCCAGTATTTGGAGCCGTCTGCTCTGACCTGCAGCTTCCTTCAGGTTTATCTCATTCATTTGGCTCAGACACTGAGGAACTCGGCGGCGGAGTAAAGATGGCGCCGAGTGGTTCAAACATGAAGCGTTTCTGAAAGCTGCTGCTGTAAAAGTCGTCCTGCCCTTCAGTCAGCAGAAGCTTCATGTGTTCATCCTCCTCTCCCCTCCGGCGTTGCTGTGCCTCCCGCCTGGAGCTACGAGTGTTTCTGGCTCATCGCTGATCCGGGCGTCAGGAGGAGGCTAGAGGTTTCCAGAGACTCGGAAACGTTGAACAAGTTGTCATGGAAACCAGGAACAACAGCTGCTCAAGCCACTCAGAGCTATCAGAGCTGGGCAACTATAATCTGATTTGAACAGTTTGTATCGTTGCAGCTTTTGTTGGAATAAAACAAAAGGAGAGATTTGGATTGTCAGAAAACGGTGTGGATTTGGATCCAGACTGTAATCCTGTTAGATCTGATCTCTGAATCCATCCATGACCCGTAAGCAGATTAACCCGAGCACTGAGCCGACTTCCTGTCAGAGCCAAACAGAAACCAACAGAAAAACTTTTTTCCTGCTGGAGGATAAAAATAAACTCATTATGCAGGTTGACAGTCAAAACAGCAGAGATTCACTCAGAAGGTTAAACAATGAGGAGGAGACTGAAGGAGCTGCGTTCAGCTTCATCAGCAACAGGAAGTGGAATCACCACAACCATCGGCTACATTTCTACAACCCGACACGTTTGCAGATTAAATCCCATCATCATTTCTAACTGTGTGGCTGCAGGAAGGCAGAACAGAAACGACCTTCAGTGGAACCAGCAGCAGCGTTACTGGGAACGTTGGGAGCAGCGATGGACTTGGAGTCTAACCACAGCTGGGAGGAAGGATCTGCCGTAACGCTGCTTTCTGCACGCAGGATGCAGCAGCCTGTAACCCAGGCTGCTGCAAGCTAAATAAATTAGCACGCTAATTAAATATTCAACTTCTCACTAAATATTTAGTTTGCAAACTAAATAATTAGATTCAAACTAAAAACATAGATTGGTGGCAAAGTAGTTAGCTTCCAACTAAACAGTAAGCTTACTCACTTTAGCTTCAAACTTGATACTTAGTTTGCCAATTAAATAGTTAGCTTTGAACTAAATACTTAAATTAATCGTTAACTAAATAGATAGTACTTGGATTGCTAACAAAGTGTTTAACTTCAAAATAAATATGTAGTTTGAAACTGTGACATTTGTAAATAAATGAATACAATTTCTCTTATGTAAGGCTAAATAACATATTAATGCTGTTAGCTTAGCGAGCCGGCCTCCCGACGTGATGTAACATCCGGTTAGCAGGCCGGACATTAGCGACGGGACTCCGCCTGTTGGCGTCTCTAACTCTGCTTCATCGCATGTCTGACGAAGGAAACCAGCCAGAGCCGAACAGCGTTTCGCTTTTATGATGTTTATGTAACTACAGATGTTCTGACGGCAGATCCAGAACCCGGGCCTTCCTTCAGCTGCAGTTTCTCTCCAGCATCAGTTTATTAAAAGCTTGTTCTGATAAATATTAAAAGCTTTTTTCTGCCGGTGTTCAGAGCTGTCAGAGCGGGTCTCATCAGCCCGGAGCGGATCCAAATGATCCGGTACCAACAGGTTCATTTCTCAGTTAAACATCCGATCTGCGGTACATGCAGGAATATTCCTGATAAACCTGATGAAGCTCCAGGAAACATTTAACCGTTTATCTGGAGGAAAACGTCTGAAATTTACCTTCTGATCTCTCCACCCTATGGAAGACAAATCCTGACAAAATTAGCAGTAATTTGGTCAGGAATAATAAAAACAAATATTTCATCCAAAAGCTACTGAATAAGAACCAATTCCAGTTTATCCTATTATACACTGTAGCATGAATTCATATTTGTTTATTAATGAATAACATTAATTTAACTTTATCACTATTATTTAACGTTGAATTTTAGTTGCAATCTTATTGTTTTATTAGTTAAAAAAATATTTAAAATATATGACAGTAAGTCAGAAATGTTATATATAAAAAAATAAATAGAAATGAAACAAAGAACACTCAGCGGTTCATGGCTGAAGAAACCTGTGTGCCGAGTGAATATAAGCATATTTACAGAAAGTTGAGTGGAAGGAAAAAGTTCAGTATAGGGACAACCGCAGCCTTAATATGAAGCAGAATCCATTTAAGCTTCTCCAGGAGTGGACAGAGGCTGGATCCAGAACCTGGGCTGCCATTTGGGTCGAGCAGAACCAGAACTGGTCCAAAGTTCTGTTTTTAGATGAAAGTAAAGTTTTCATTTCATCTGGAGATCACAGACTGGAGAGAACCAGAACCTGGATGGAGGTCCAGTCAGTGATGATCTGGGTTGTATCAGGTCATCTGCTGGTTCTGGTTCTGGTGATGCAGGAATTCAGCCCGGACCAGAGCTGAGAGCAGAGCGATGATCATTTCTGTTGAATTGATCATTTTTATTGATCTGATGTTCTGACTTCTGAGTTTTGATTCCAGAATCAGAACTTCTAGAAAACAGGCTGAGCGGTTCCACTCTATGTGTGATAGATCTATATCATAGATCCGTTTCACTTCCTGACACGAGGAACAGAAAATACCGAACTTTTCCAGCCCTCCGCTGTAACGCAGTTCAGCCGGCTGAAGAAGTTGCCGCTGCGCTAAGTGGTGCGGCGGCCTGAGGAAGAGGAGTGATGAAGGCTCGGCGGTCTCCTCTCAGTAAGTGAACATTTGGCTGCAGGCGCCAGTCGACCCGACTCTGGATGTTACGCCAGAAACCCTCCAGGCTTCTCTGGGAATCCAGGTTTATTTCAGGATGCTTGTTTTCCTCCTGCAGCTGATTAAGAGGAACCAGAACCGCAAACGGGCCAGACAGGAAACCCAGATATAGGAATAATAATCAAGAATGAAATACATGTATGGAGCATTTTTCACTGGAAAACAGCAGAAATTTAGGCTGCAGGCTGATTTAATCCAACTCCAGTGTGTCTGTCTAGTCAAAGTCCGATCGGTGAGGCATGAATGCTAATTTCATGCTACCCTCATAGCATTTTCTGGTGACGCCTCTGGGCCAGAATGAGTCTTGGTTCTTGTTCAGTGAAAAGTTCGACAGACTTTGTTCGTCTTGCTGTTAGAAAGACAAACATTTTGATAAATGTAGTTTAACGGTGATGAGGGAAGCAGCTGTTTATGGGCCACAGAGCTTCCAGAAGCGTCTCTGCTGTATGCCTGACCCCCCTGCGCCGCGTTATGCAGTCATGCATTATGCATGTCTGGATGCAGCAGGCGGATCGGCCGTGTTGGAGGTAGCGGCGCGGCCCGGAGGCGCCTGACCTCATCCTGGAGCAGCAGC